AATGTGGGGGGGGGGGGAGAGATGATGGGCAATGTGGGGGGGGGGGGAGAGATGATGGGCAATGTGGGGGGGGGGGAGAGAGATGATGGGCAATGTGGGGGGGGGGAGAGATGATGGGCAATGTGGGGGGGGGGGGGGGGGGGAGAGATGATGGGCAATGTGGGGGGGGGGGGGAGATGATGGGCAATGTGGGGGGGGGGGGGGGAGAGATGATGGGCAATGTGGGGGGGGGGGGGGAGAGATGATGGGCAATGTGGGGGGGGGGGGGGAGAGATGATGGGCAATGTGGGGGGGGGGGGGGGAGAGATGATGGGCAATGTGCGGGGGGGGGGGGGGGGAGAGATGATGGGCAATGTGGGGGGGGGGGGAGAGATGATGGGCAATGTGGGGGGGGGGGGGAGAGATGATGGGCAATGTGGGGGGGGGGGGAGAGATGATGGGCAATGTGGGGGGGGGGGGAGAGATGATGGGCAATGAAAGGGGGGGGGGGGGGGGGGGAGAGATGATGGGCAATGTGGGGGGGGGGGGGAGAGATGATGGGCAATGTGGGGGGGGGGGGGAGAGATGATGGGCAATGTGGTGGTGGGGGGAGAGATGATGGGCAATGTGGTGGTGGGGGGGGAGAGATGATGGGCAATGTGGTGGTGGGGGGGGGGGAGAGATAATGGGCAATGTGGGCGGTGTATGTATGGTGGTATTGGTGACAGTGGTATGTGGAGGATTGGGTGCAATGTACATTGTGTGGGTGGGTGTCGTGTATGGGGGATGGTTATAGGCAATGCATGTGTAGTGTTTATATGGACAGTATGGGGGGGGGAGTTATGGGGGGTATAGACCCGGCACAGAGCATACATTGCAGACTCTGCGCACTTACCATGCAGCAGCAGCCAATGTTCCCTATGCCATATGTAAGAGAACCTGTCATTATGCTGCGTTGTATAGATCTCGGGGGGGGGGGGGGGGGGGGGGGTATAAGATGTGCTCCATGTGACCGTCCTTGGTCTTGGACCCAAACCTGGGGGATACTTTCTGGGATCTTCACCGCATGCAGCCAGAATTCCCTGTTGGACCTCCTGGGTGCGTTCTCTCCGGGAAATGCCGACATTCGATGCTAAGACCTCTCCCGTTCCCTGAAGGGGCAAATGTTGGGTATGAACTCTTCAGTGCTCTGTTGGCTTGTGATGGCGCTTTGTATAAAACGGTCCGGTGGTCCACTTCTGTGTGGTGTAATTTGCAGCCTATGAGCCAACAAGGCCACAGAAACCCCCCTGATGTGCTAACAGATGGTTCCATCCATGTGGTATTGGCATGGTAATGGGGTGAACCAGCTGGCAGACCATGCCGGGCTTTGTGAAGTTTCAGTTTGGTGTAGTTGGTATCGGTTATAAATGAAACCATGACATGACTTGTCCTGTACGTAGAGAGTCTCGCTGTGTCATCTCAGGAAGTGAGATGGAGATCCCCTCTTGGGACCAGAACAGGTGTCCTCAATGGAGGAAGTCTCCTCACTGCCTGCTCATGGGCAACGGTGCAAGGCCCCTCCTGAGTAGTTACAAAGGTGGAATGTGTTGTTTGGCTTTACCAAAACCAGAAGGACACATCTAGAGGAGATTGTACAATCGGATCTTATCGTCTGGAGTTCACAGAACCTCTTTACTCTAATAGACTCCCTCTGTTGCAGGCACACTGGGAGGTGGGGGGGGGGGGTGCTGGCCGCGAGAGCCTGTCCTCATTCTGTGCCAGGAAGGGCCACTCACCAATGTTCCCAACAAACTTTATTCAGCCAAGAAAACTGCTGCAGCTCATGTTTCACCCTTACGGGCCAAGTCGTAGATCAGTGGCGGTCAACTTAAAAAGTAGAGGGCCTTAAGCGCATCCCCAACACTTCCAGAGGGCCATGTGCAACACCCCAAAATTTCAGTCCTCTCCCCCACGCCAGTAGTCTTCCGGGACAGGCCCCGGGAGATGTAGAGCTCCTCCCGTTGGGGATGGGACAGGCCCCGGGAGATGTAGAGCTCCTCCCGTTGGGGATGGGACAGGCCCCGGGAGATGTAGAGCTCCTCCCGTTGGGGATGGGACAGGCCCCGGGAGATGTAGAGCTCCTCCCGTTGGGGATGGGACAGGCCCCGGGAGATGTAGAGCTCCTCCCGTTGGGGATGGGACAGGCCCCGGGAGATGTAGAGCTCCTCCCGTTGGGGATGGGACAGGCCCCGGGAGATGTAGAGCTCCTCCCGTTGGGGATGGGACAGGCCCCGGGAGATGCAGAGCTCCTCCGTTGGGATAGGAAACCCATTACCAGGCCTCGGGAGATGCAGAGCTCCTCCGTTGGGATGGGACAGGCCCAGGAGATGTATAGCTCCTCCCATTGGGATAGGAAACCCATTACCAGGCCCCTGCGTCGGTATTTAATGTTTCCTGAAACCATTGAAAGGTTCTTCCTAGATCTGCCTGGAAAGGTTCTTCTTAGATCTGCCTGGAAGCTTGTTGGGGGGTCTACTTTCTGGATCTTGCTGTTATAGCGCTTCAGCAATACCCCCTGGGGTAGGAGGGTGGCTGGTTTGCCCTGTACTTCTCCTGGGCCCTGGAAGAGTCTGACTGGAGTATGTCTGCTTTTCAGTTCCCTTTTTGCCAGTCACCTGTTCTCCTGTAAAGGAATTCTCTTGCCAATGGCCGGTTGTATCACAATGTGCACTGAAGTTGCAAGCACAACAATGCTCAGAGTTGGTGTAGGTGGGCGCATCAATAACCTACTCCTCACAGCGTTGGCGCAGAATCAACCGTAACTCTCCCCTCCTCCATGTTGGTATCAGTAGTATTGTCATTCCAAACCCCCTTCCCCTGCATTGGTGGTCAGTGACAATGGATGACCACCTATTCACCCCTGTATTGGTGGCCATGGCAACAAGTTGGCTCCACCACAAAGACTGCCAGCTGTGACACTATATGGTGGGCTGTGTTGGGTACCCAAGGTTGTAGAGCGGTGGTTGTCAACTTGAGTTTAAGGGGGGGGGGCCTCAAATGAGGCCCCTGACAACACCCAAGGGCTACATAATGTTCAATATGTAATGCTTGAGGAATATCAGACTGCAGACCTAATAGAGGAAAGGGAGGTCAGAGTGTAGACATTGGGGATATGCTGAGAAGACCATACAGAGCTGGGAACAGGTTACATGAGGCTAGTAGAAATAAATGGCATTGCCCTAATCGGTGTTCTAAATACAGACTGCTGAGGGCCACGCATCTTACACCAAAAGAGCCATGGGTTGGGAACCAGGGTTGTAGAGGCTCTGCCTGTAATGGGTGTACCATGTCTCTGTTGGGATCTTCAGTGAAGGAAATGACGTCTTTGTTGAGCCGCCCTTCATTCTTGGCAGTATGTGTCATGTATGGCCAGCTTGAAGTAGAACTAAATGCACAAATTTGAAGTTTCCTAAAACTGTTAGGTTCAAGGCATATTGTCAATTGCTTGTACAGTTTGTGTAGTTGGTTCTTGCCAATACCTGAGGTGGAGGCTGACATTCTAAAATGGGGGTGTCTAAACTTTTTAAACAAAGGGCCAGTTTATTGCCCTTTAGACTTTAGGAGGCCCAGACTCTGGCCAGTGGGAACAGAAAATGCCCCATTGTTGGTGAGGCTGGGAGGGATGGTGCCCCATGGCTGGTGAGGCTGGGAGGGATGGTGCCCCATGGCTGGTGAGGCTGGGAGGGATGGTGCCCCATGGCTGGTGAGGCTGGGAGGGATGGTGCCCCATGGCTGGTGAGGCTGGGAGGGATGGTGCCCCATGGCTGGTGAGGCTGGGAGGGATGGTGCCCCATGGCTGGTGAGGCTGGGAGGGATGGTGCCCCATGGCTGGTGAGGCTGGGAGGGATGGTGCCCCATGGCTGGTGAGGCTGGGAGGCATGGTGCCCCATGGCTGGTGAGGCTGGGAGGCATGGTGCCCCATGGCTGGTGAGGCATGGTGCCCCATGGCTGGTGAGGGATGGTGCCCCATGGCTGGTGAGGGATGGTGCCTCATGGCTGGGAGGGATGGTGCCCCATGGCTGGGAGGGATGGTGCCCCATGGCTGGGGAGGCTGGGAGGGATGGTGCCCCATGGTTGGGGAGGCTGGGAGGAATGGTTAGATAATGGAGATAACTCGGCACGGCAAAAGCTTTGAAGGATGTTACCACTATGGATGTAGGCTGCACTTTTTTTGTTTGGGGTGGAGTATCCAGAAAGAGTTGAGTTTGCCGTTAATGAGCTTTAAGGTGATCACCTGAGTCTACAACATGCCGATATCTAAACCTCTACCAGTGATGGTCCTGCAGCAGAATCTCAGGATCGTTCCATCCTCAGTCCTCATGCCCAGGACAGAGGTCTTGTGCTAAGTGATGGCTGTGCAATCCTTCGGGACTTCCTGTCCTCATTACTCCTTCTGAGCCTGGAAGTCTACCATGCTCCATCTGTTCCTCGTTATTTTGTGTCCTGCCATGAACCGTTGTAGAGAAGACGTGGCTCCATTGTTGCGTCACGCCGCCAACAGACGTGAGTCCATCAGATTCAGATGCTCAACTACAGTAGAGGGTGAAAACCAGTCTCTCCTGCCCCCACAAAGAAGCCACTTCCAGCATCTAAATATTATTTCCAATGGCAGTTGGGTCTTTAACTGCTTGTGCAAAACAACCACATGCTGGATTTGGCTTTGTAAAGAGGGGGGGTTTGGCATACATGAGTATTTGTAAAGGGAGGTGTCCGGCATACATGAAGTACAGTATAGAAGTAAAGTGGACCTGTGCCTTGCCCTCCGTTCACATGAACGGCACTGGATTCCTGTGCAATGTGATTCAGTTCTATTTGAACCCGTTCATTTTGAATGGGCTCAAATCGCACCAAAGATGTTCCTGATTTTTTTTTTTTTTTTGGGGGGGGGGGGGGGGGGGCGGGTTTAGTAGCACTAATGTGCATATCACCCACATGTGATGCTGAGTTTCCACAATTGAAAAAACTGAAATCTAATTACAAGGGACGGGGCCAGGGACAGTCAGGCTGGGAAGAAAAGAGATGGGTGATGCTGGATGTCCTAAAGCCAGGAAATGAGGTGGAACTCTCTGGCTCACTTGCTGCAGCTTTTAATGCACATTGTGAGAAGCTCACAGTGTGCAGTAACATCAGAGGAAGCCATTTCAGTCCAGGGGAGGAGCCGGTACACCTGTGCAAGACTGGAGAGGGAGGAGCCAGTACGCCTGTGGGGGGGGGGGGGGGAGCTGGTGCGAGTGGTGGGGGGGGGGGGGGGGGGGGGGGAGCTGGTACGCCTGTGCGAGTGGGGGGGGGGGGGGGGAGCTGGTACGCCTGTGCGAGGTGGGGGGGGGGGGGGGGAGCTGGTACGCCTGTGCGAGTGGGGGGGGGGGGGGGGGGGGGGGGGAGCTGGTACGCCTGTGGGGGGGGGGGGGGGGGGGGGGAGCTGGTACGCCTGTGCGAGGGGGGGGGGGGGGGGGGGGGGGGGAGCCGGTACGCCTGTGCGAGTGTGGATGGGGGGAGCGGAGCCGGTACGCCTGTGCGATTCTAGAGGGAAGGGACTTTGTGTGTATTTTAGACCCCTCCAGTCCTTGTTGCTGTGACGGGGGGTCTTTGGTCTCTGCTCAGAATGTGAACAGGTTTTTTTCTCCTCTCTGCAGTCAATGTGAAACTCCGAAACGCAAGCTGTCTGATCGCTACTTCCTCCCCCAGGACGGACTCTGCGGACTCCATGGATGCAGGCAAGTGACTCCATGCTCTGTGATGGCTCTCAGAATTTTCTTTGGGGGGGAGGGGGGTTGCTCATTTATTTTCAATCCGGATCCCAAATTTTAT